CCTCCACTCTCCAAATATTGTCTTTTAACCAAAGACTAAAAGATTAACGGAGTCTCAGTGATGTCACTCCTTGGTTTCTAAGGAGGCATTTTGAAACCAAACAATGGCGGTCGCCATATTCACGTAATGTCCCACACGTATGGAAACGCCCACCAGGCGGGCAAGAAACGCTTCCTAACGCTGCACGCTAAGGAGAAGATGCCGGTCTCGGTTGCTACCTACGTGTTTTTATCAGTTTTTAACAGACAGTTTTTTTTTCAATGTGAGGCACTAATAGTCGAGGAGACGAGGGCGGGTTGTTCTACAGAATGTAATCAGAATAGAACACCCAGACAGGAGGAGATCGTGGATGAATGCTGTTAAATGCTCGGCTGTCCCTGTGAGGGAACAGAAGAACAGACTTCTCCTCATCCTCACATCAAAGATTGTGTAAACTTGAGCTAATTATTTCTGCCCCAGAACACTGACTGACAGTGATCCTGATTCTATCATAAGGGAACGTTTACTAGCTAATGTTAGCTAATAAGCACTCACTTAGTATAAGTCCAAGAATTCTCCACTTAATATAAATTATGTAAACGTCACAGAAGGAAAGTTCTGGCAAGGCCTTTACTGCGAATTAAATGGTGTCCCTTGTTGCTGTATAAGGGTCCCAAAACGTTTTTTGGGCACTTGATCTTTTTTGTGAACATGCATAGTTTTAAAGTGACAGTAAATTAAAAACCTGGTGCTGCAGCTCCACAGAGTGTTCAGCTCTTTCTGCCCTCCAAGCCTCCACACCAGTCACGAGTCTGAAAGCTTTGAATTACAGATGGTGACTCGCACTACCTGTCAGTCAATCTAGTAACAGGAAAAAAGTCGGAAAAGTCACAGAATGTGTCTTCAGTGGCCGAAGGTTCACACACTGGTTATTGAGTGAAAGCTGGATGGTAGCATTTTTTATTTTATATATTTGAAATGATATTGCTGTTTTTTTTTTTTTTTTTTTTTAGATAGAATTAAAATGAACTGAAGCTTTTAAGGGCGCGGTCTCACTGGCCATACATACCGTGCCCAAGCACGCTTCAACGCAAGCGTCCAGTTCATTTGACCAGTGTGACCGCTCCGTATCGTGCTCAGGCACGGTACACTTCCTTGGCTTTGGCACACTTCGGAGAGGTGTGCTTCAGCACGGTACACTTCATGCACAAGCACAAGCACGCGGGTACACAACGCTGACAGCCTTCATTATGGAGAAATCCAGAGTTTCATGTATCTGACTATAATGACACAATATAAGCCACAAAGTAGCTGTCATATTCTCTGTGTTGTTCTCCGATGTGCGGGCGCCCGCCCGGACTCGCACACAGAGCGTCTATACTACTCACTGTACTGTACTCGCACGGTACAGATGGCCAGTGTGACCGCGCCGTAAAAAAACTAAGGTGAAAAACTAACACTACACAATGATAAACAGTGCTGTTTGGGTGTTATGTCTAAATAACATTTCATTCTCTCTCAGGAGGAGACGTGGTGGCCGTTCGACGTGTCGGGTCAGACCGTGCTCCTCTTCCTGGTGTGGCCGTTTGTGGCTCAGGGTCTGGTCTACCTGCTGAGGAGAGCCCAGAAGAAGAACCGCATCACTTCATGAACAGACCTCACAAAAGACTTTTCACCCATTCACCCACAGCGAGAAGTTTTTATTTGTACGGCAGAAAGGATTGAATCAAAAAAGAATGAATGGGAAGCCGTCATCCTCCCTCACTGAGTGCACTGGATCGAGGGAGGGAAGACGCATATGTGATCCACATCTGGATTTTAATCCCCTCTTACCTGCTACATAAAGAGGGTCTTTATTTAAATCATCCAGGTGGATTAATCTGCTGGTTTTTGACGGCAGCAAGAGATTGTCTTTGCCAAGCCTGGACTGGTACTTACACTGATCATCGGAGCCTGAATACTAGGATTATAATGTTCCTGTCTAAGTATGAGCGACACAATGGGCCTGATTCACTTAGAAAGGATTGCAGATTACGCTAATCGCGCCAAAAAAATTGTGCATCATTTGCTCCCACTATCTGCCCTGCCTTAAGGTCTGCTTCACAAATCGTATAACTCTGAAGATATTGGGCACTAAGTTGGGCACTTTGTGTGCTGAACACAAATAAATACAATCCAGTGTTTCCCACAGAATGACGAGATACCTGGGCGGTAGAGTTCGCACGGGGAGGCTTTACGGGGAACTTTTATTTTCTTATTACTCTTATCCTAGGGTTTATTTTAATATTAGATTTTTATTCATATCAAATGTGTTTTCCCAAATAAATGAATTAACTTTTTTCAACATCTTTAATCTGCTCAATGTATCAACGCACGCGCACAGACGTAAACACCAGGAGTACGCCACGTTTTGAAAAGTTCCACTCCATATTCCGTTATTTACAGGAGTTCAGCATCAGCAGCAAGCGGCTGTACGTTAACATTTTTTAAAACAAAGCCATGAGAAGCTTCACTTTTGATACGAGCAAGAGAGGTGTATGGACAGTGGACATTCTCTCTCTCTCTCTCTCTCTGAAGTGGATTCGATACAGCTGTCTTGGTTTTACCGTGCCATGAGGTCCAGAGAGCGTGCGCCTGCACTTTATTGTGCACGCTCTCTCACTCTCACTCTATCTGTGCACTCAGCAATTTTATTAATAAATGAAAATATGAAAAACAAACAGGTCAGAAATATGCTTGGGCGGCCCAGGTATGGTGGATTTGTGGGAAACACTGCCATCAATCATGTTGCCGTTAGCAACCATGTTTGTGAATGGGGCTTATTTGCATAGAAAGGGGCTGAGTTTTCCCATAATGACTTATCATCTGAAAACGTGCAAACAGCATCAGAGCACAGAGACACGTTCCTCTGCTGTGCAGTTAGGGGAGCATTTAACCCTTTACGTGTGTTGTGTGAATGGACGGCGTCTTTTGCACATCTTTGGTTGAATCTGTCTCTGTTGTGAATCAGGCCCAATGTCATGTCACCATATATTTATTTCTTTGTAGGCTTTAAACTACCCTTATCTCAGAGCGTTTTGCTGCAGCCATTCTGCTCTCCACTAACAGAAGTCAACCTACAGATCTGATGATTATGAGTCATGTAGTAAAAACATCACCGTTTGAAACAGGGAGGAGCAGCCATTTTTAGATGAGAGCACTTGTCATTTTATTGCACTCTTTCACAGCTGATTCTTGACCCCTGAATGTTTGTCAGTGTCTCCTCTGACTTATATTCACAGAGAATTCAGGTAGTTTTAAAGTTTTGATGGAGGTACTTGGATAGAGCTCATTTGTCGCCATGGATACGCCTTTACAGCGTGTTTGCTGGCTGAAGAGTTTTGGTGCCTATACTGTAAGTTAAACACAATTATTTTAAATACAGGAATTCCCTTTTAAGACTAAAAATGAAAGCGCCTGTGAACTTCTCTGGCATTTCTTTAATGTCTGAGATATGTGAAGCTGCACCTTTTTATCACAGGGCGACTCAAAATGTAGCCGATCACGTCGATCCAAACGGCAATGTTTGCATCATCTGGTTTTTTGTTTTATCCGTTTGTTTTCAAAGTGACACTGACATGACAAGTGTAATGAAGACAATCATCAATAAATGATGGAAGATCAGTTGTGAAAGTTGGTGTGTCGTAATAACTGAAGCTTCACATTTCACATCATTAAATCTGCAGCTCCACTCAGATGAGTCATTAAATGAATTTATACAGGACAATAACAATTAAATTAAAAACCCTTACCCAAGTGATTTATTGAATTATATTGTTGGTGAAAAGTCAATTCAGTATCCAAATTGTTATATTTGTTTAACTAGTCGACACTAAACTTTGTGAGTGTTATTTCTATCAAGCTGTATAAAACACTGTTTTTTTTCCACTTACTGTCAGTAACGTTATCATTTTAATTCATTTTATGTCACATTTGAGGAAAAAAATACACAATCCCAAATTTTCCAAAACAAATAATTTAATATATTATGTATAACATTTATATACACAGGTTAACTTAACAAGGCTTTGTACAACTGTTACAAAATTGGTCCACGCACAGTCATCCACGTACATAAAGAACATGCACAGGGGCACAGAGAGAGAGAGAGGACAGACTGATATGATTAAGACAAACATGGAGTCTGGTCAGACGACAGGGTTTGGCAGTCACAACGGTTCAGCTCAAATTCTTGTTTCTTCAGACTCGGTTTTACAAAAACTAAAGTTACAGGAAGGAAGTAGAAATACTGAAACTGTGAAAAAGGAAGAATGCAAAAATATCACTCAGGTAAGACTCAGTGGTTGGATTTAAGGAGGTTATACTCTCCCATGACGATTCTCTCGCAGTAACCAATTGCTTAGGTTCTCCTTGCCTCTTTTATATTGCATCACTCCACTCAGCTTTCTTGGAACTGGACTTTTCTAGTTTCCCATCAGCAGTCTCAGCTATTCCTGGTATGACTTCCGCCAAGGTTCTAGTAAGCTGAGCAAATAAAACACTGCTGACCGTCAGCAGGAAATGTCACTCGCAAGACAATATGCCCAAATATGTTGTCAAATTTACAATAAATTCAAAGTTAACATTGTGTAATGTTCCTGCCTATAGGAGCCCTAATCTTACATCACTCCATACATTTTTTTTCTGTAATAACAAGTAAATTTCAGATGTTCACTCAATATCTCCACTTTATTTATCCCATGTATACGTTAAAAAGAACACTGATCCGTGAGGGAAAGAGAGCGAGCAGTGGTGACGTATTGAAATTCACACGGCAGCAAATACTGGCTTTCGTCAAATTGTTACGGCATCTCATAGACGCAAGTTACCGCAGAGGAGGGGACACTGTCAAAATTGCCTGTGTTTGTGTGCAGTTTAGACAGTGATGACTATTTTGACTAGAGTCAGCAGCTTTTTCTTTAAAAAACCCAAAATATAGATATATATAAAACTAATGTTGCTCAATCATCCCTTCTGGGCCTCCATACACGAGTGGTGGTGACTGTGTCTGCAGACACTCTGTCCTCTGACTAGATTTTAATGTGTTGGTTTGTTTTGGTCGACTCTGGGCGTTTCTGGGCGGGGAGCTGGTGTGTAAATTCTAGTTTACTGACACCCTAGTGGAAAACTTAGAGAAAGTAGAAGCGTCAGTTCCAAGCAAGTAGAGTTGAGTAGAGTCAATACCGTACTGTGTAGGAACGCAGCACACGGTCGTCTTTTGGCTCCATACTGCTGATAATATACATATACCCAAATAGAAAAAAAATAATTTGGCATGACTTAACATAGCTGCCTTTAAAAACTTTCTGATAAAAACAGTGTTAGTATCCTCAAAAGTCTGACCCTCCTCCTCAAACATACACACGCCCTCACACACACAAACACACACACATAGGGGAAGCATGATAGGCTTGTGTTTAACACTTAGGGTTTGCATATCTTTATATGTCACCGACCCCATGCATGCAGTTTTTTAGTCCACAGAAGCTTTGGCATAACGCCCGAGTGACATCGTCCGGAGAGGGAGTGAGTTGCTTTGCTCCTGCAGATCTTTGACGTTCCCTGTAGATCCACGGGAGACTTTGGAAGAGCTTGTAAAGGGCTGAGAGGTTTTCTGTGCTGTACTCAGGCTGGTAGGTAAGTGTGCCCACATGGGTTTTGTTAAAGACATCATTGGTAAAAACCAGTGGGGGAAGACACCAGCATTTGTACAGCAAAGTCAGTCAGTTTGGATTCAAAAATAAAAAATCACATGGCGGCACGACTGCTGAAGTCTTTGCTGGTGATGGTTAATTGTGAAAGCAGCTGCTGCGCTCTGGAGGTGATGTCTAATATGGCATTTAAATGAATTTTTATTATAACCTTTTGTTGAAGAGATTCATTCCCAAACATTGTTGAAGAAATATGTGTTAAAGCTTCCTTTTAGAATTAGAAAATACCTTACTTTGTCACCACCTAGTGGTAGTATGAAAACATGTAAAATAACATTTGCAGTAATTTTCAGAACAGATCGATGTATTTGTTTTTAGTTTTGGAATAAACCTCTTCACGTGCGCACAATCAGGGGCGTGTCCAGAAGGTTGGCCAGCCACAGCAATGGTCCCACCTGCAAATCTGATTGGCCACTCCTGGTGCCAACCCAAAATTCTACACCTTGATTGGCTAATTGCCTAATCAGAGGCGGGGCTTAAGTTCAATCAACTATTTAAGCTATACTGAGTCAGACTGCTAATGGCTATAATTTAAATTCAATGTGACACATAATTTTTTGGTCCTTAATTTAAAATTTTTAATTCTAATTTCTTTTTGATTCCTTAAAGGTATAAAATGTGTAATTTTAATCATTAATATAGCAAATATCAAAAACATCCCTTTTAACTATGTAATTGAGTAATGCCTTTGTAAAGATAGTGAAGTCAAACTTCCTCCGGGTTTGTTGTTAACACCCCTGTGTTCACACTGACGGGCCGACGCTTCCTTCACCTTGTATATGATTCACTCAGAGGCTCAAACATGTTTCATCCTGTAGATGTTTTTTTTCCACAAAATCCTTTCTCTCTAACTGTTAGCCCTGCCACAATGTGGGGGATGACAGCCCCATCTATTTGGGGACGCTGTTTCTTGAGGCATAATCACAAACTGTCATCGCAGGAGTAAAGGAGAACCAAAAGATCTTCCAAACCACAGACAATACTCTGGTTCTAAATACATCAAAGAATCATCTTTAGTGTGCATATCAGAACGGAGATCAGTCCTAAAAACGGCTGCAATCGGTTGGCACATTAAGGAAGGGTTAGGGGAGGAGGGCAGGCGGTGCACTGAGGGACAGAGGAGGCATGGCCAAAGAAACGTTTTGTTTTGGTCAAAGATATTTTGCTAAATTGAGACATCTATTCTAAAGTTGCTAAGCTTTTAAAAAAACTGAAGCTTGTAAGATTGACGTTAAAAAAGTATTAAACATAGGGATATGATATCTGTATACGAAAGGTAAATCTGTTCAGTGGAGGCAGAGGCAGAAAATAAATGCTATTCTTCGATTTGTTTGCGCAATACTACTTCATGCAACCTCTGCATAAATCAGAGCAGTCAATCAAGTCTGGACACGCCCCTCTGCACAATTCTTTAACAACAAGAACACATTTTTCACTTTAGTGCCAATGAAAAGCAACAAGGAAAAGGCCTCAGACAACTGGGATCTCTGGAGCAATATGAACCGTGGCTTCAGAAGCAGAGACAGAGGTGATTCAGTGTGTGTGAGTAAAGGGTGAGTACTTGGTTCTGCATTAGTAAATGCAACAGTCGGGTTAAACTACGACGGTGTGACGGCGCCACGCTCTCGTCTTGTCCCTTGGGTCCAGGGCGGATCTCCTCAGAACCACAGTGGAGGGTCCTGCAGGGCTTTGATCTATCAACCCTGAGGAGGAGGAGGAGAAAGGGGGAGCCTCCTTCTGCAGACGAGGAAGGGGATCTATTTGTTGAATCGACCGAGGACCCAAAATTGATCCCTGAGGAACCCCATCACGTCCACGCTGACCTAATGTTTCATCAATGACTCGAATTACCTCCACCCTGTCTGCCCTCCATCCTCTGACTATGTCGTCTCCCCTGCCAAACTCAACATCAAGATTCATGGACACAGCCCTTGTTCTCCCCCCTCTGGTCTTCCTGTAGCGGACAGGTGCTGACTGGTTCCAGTCTGGATGTTGGGTCCCATGAAAGCTGGGCGCCTGGTAGAGGGTGGGAAGCCTGTTGGGGCAGATCCAGAAGGGAACAGTGGGGCGTCCTCTGACTAAATTATGAGGTCTCAACTGGGAAGGAGGATTAGTCGCTGGTGGGGGTCTTGGATATGAGGCATGGGTCTGTTGGTACAAGCAGGTAAAATTTTGTTCTCTCTTTCCTTTTCTGTTCCTAAGATCTTTTTCAGCTACTTCTTCTCCCACCAATGAATCTTTTCCCTCTGTGGTCTCTTCAGCTTTCACCCCATTTTCCTTTCCCTCACGTTTTTCTTTTTTAAGAATTAAAAGTTCTTCCTTCTCTGCCTCTTCCTCTCCTCTCTCCTGCTCCTCCTCCCCTCCCCCTCCTTCTCCGGCCCCGTAGTTGCTGGCTTTGACTGGCTCGTGCTCGGAGTCCTCGTCAGTGCTGCTGCCCTGCAGGTGGGTACTGAGGCATTTTTTTCGCTTGCGGGTCACAGCAGAGATGAGGGACATTGGCAGGAAGTCCCTGGCATTCAGGTCTTTCTTGGAGCCTGATGAAAGCTGCAAAATCAAAATTCCAGTCAAATGATGCCTCAATGCCTCAAATGATGCCAACCTCCTCATAGATTACTTTGCTAACTGGTAAAAATATGGGGAAAAAATTCTTAATTTTTGAACAACTGGGTCCAAGAATTAAGTACAAGTAAAATATTTTCTTCTTACCTTTGACTTAAGAGAATCGCTGGTGGTGGAATCTGTAGAAAATAAATAAATATGTATGAGAATCTTGTTGTCACGGGACCAGTGGTGGTATTAGTGTTGAAGCCAGTTCAGACTCAAGTTTTGTAAAGAGACGCAAAAATTAGGGTAAAAGTATCAGGAGCGTGAAATGGTCTGGAACAACTTGACTCTTACCAGCTTATGGAGGAGTGTGATACTTAGCTTGTGAAGTCACCAGTGGCAGATTTTAAACCTTTAGGCTGGTCATTTAAAAAAAATTAAAGTCATATCAGCCAAATCAGCCGGTAAAGTCATTTATGAGTCTTCACCTGTAAGACTGGTGAGTTGAAGAAAATGCTCTTTTTTAAAATGATTTTGTTAAATTGTTATGATTGAAGTGAGCCAAATAATATTACACATAGTTATACCCAATCTGTTCTTAATACTCTTGATGATTTAGCTGGTGAACACCCTGTAAAGCCGACATTGCATTGCACTGAAAGTAAATGTAACTTTGAGCTGGTCTCTTTGACAATTTCTGGTCTGAACTGGCTTGTTGGAGTAGTAAAAAAGGTGTGGTATCTGGCTAAGTCACTGCACACACTACCAGTACTACAACCTTCAGGAGAACTCTAGCCATTATCAAAGGACTCTGCTTTAAAATCAATGGAACAGCTGCGATTATTATGAAGCAAGAAATGGCTAGGGTTCACCTTTAACTTCTCTAGGACAAGAGGAAGATGGCACTTTGGTGGAAAACAAGACAGACAAAAAGTAAACAGATGAGTAAACGAGTCCAAGTGCGCCAAACACAAACACAAACACACAGTGAGCAAGACCTGGTCCTACCGAAGAGGCTGATCCAATGTCTCAGCTAGAGAGAAAGAGAGTGCAGAGAGGACGGGAAAGGAGAGAGGAGGAAACATCATGAGTATTCACAGGCAGAGACATGGCAGCTTGAGAAGTAAAGAGAACTACTGGGAAGGAAAGACACCGAGCTAAAGGTCACTTATAGGGTATACAGAGTAGAGCTTGTAAAGAGTGGGTTAAGATAAAGAAGCTTTTAAATAAAAGGTTTCGTATGCTCAGACAGTAAGTCAGACAGTTTCCCCAAATGTGCATTAAACATATTGGGCGTTTTATGCCTTTATTTTAGAGGTAGGATAGTGGATAGAGTTAGAAACCGGGGAGAGAGAGAGTGGGGAAAGACATGCGGGACAGGAGCCACAGGTCGGATTCAAAAACCCGGGCCACCCGCTCCCTCTGCAAGCGTATTTGCGTCCCTCCTCCTCCCCAGCTCCTCCCTTTATGCTATTCTGACTTAATTAATGTCATGCTTGTCATTGATGCTTGCTCTGTTTGGGTTCGCTGCTTATCTCCCTGCCTTATAAGCTTTCCTTATATGCACGGGAAGGGCAGGAATGTGTGCTGTTCCTGCCTAATGCTTTCCACGTAAGCATGTGGAAGAGCAGGGAGATCCCTCACAGAGCCATACCGCCAAATATAACTTTAACGACGGTGTGTGATGCTGACACTCCTCACCTGAAGCCTCTCCTGGCATACCCGGCCTTCCAATGTTGGACAGCAGATGGTCAATATTGGGTACAGGCTGCATGTCCCGCTTATCCTCCGGGGCCTACACACATATACACACAAACACACGCAAAGACACAACCACAACAACAAAAATAAAGCAAAATTGCAGACGTTAGCGTACAAACATGTCCTTCTGTATTTTTAACACTTGAAGCAGCTGTGATCTCACACATACCTTCTCCTCTTTATCAAAGTCTCTGTTACTGAAGAACCAGTCATGCTGTTGGAGAAACAAACACAAACACGTCACTAACTCGTAAAGAAGGGTGAAGTATGTCTCGCTTCAGAGGAAGAAGTTTTTCATTCTTACATGCAGGATCAGTGTCTCCACTATTTTGTAGCGGTCGGGCATGTGTGTGACCATGTCGGTCATGTTGTCCTCTGATGTCCTGACCAGAGTGGGACCAAACACCAGAGCCAGGTTTCTGGGCTCCATCTGGAAATAAAATCAAAGTTGTGTTCAGATTTGGCCTCAGCAATGAGCACAAGTTTGTAAATAAATAAATAAATAAAAAAGCCCATTCAAGGAGGTGAGGTCACCTTGTTCTTCTCTGCATTATCTGCCACCCTCTTTAAGTGTCCCACCAGGAACTTCATGGTGTGATAATAGTGATCAGGGAGGTCATGGATCTGGATGAAGAGGTCAAGACAAGGGGTTAAGATAGATACGATAGTTTAGTCTGACAAACAGATGTGTTGTTTGACTCTTTGCCGTCCTCTCACACGTACCAGTTTCTTCATGGTCTTCAGTCGATCCTCTGCGTCCTCTATCCGGTTGGCATCAATGAAGTCATTGTATTTGTCTGTGAAAAGAGGTTACAGTTGAGTTTTCAACGTCTAGAAAAGTCACCCTCCGTTGAAAGAACCTTAAAAAAAAGATGCCCCCACCACGAATACACACACACTCTGGACTTGTGAGGTGAATGTGACTTTTAATAAGTATAAATACATATTTTTGATAAGAAGTAAGACGAGCAAACTCGCTACGATGAGAGATTTTTTGCATTGTTGTGCTTCGAAAACAAAAGTGCAAAGACTTGGTTTATTGCTATCACAGTTATTTAAAAGCAAACCTGAACTAGAAAAATAGAATCTTGGTCTTGGCTCGGTCTCGATCCCTAAATGTCTCGGCCTTGTCTTGGTCTGAGAGCACTCTGATCTCAGGCCTGTCTTGCTCTCGGTTAGTGTGGTCTTGACTACAACACTCGTTCCCTGTAAGTACAATAAAAATAGATCTAGACTCACCGTCAGTAAACAGCGGCTCGGGAAGTTTTCGGAAGAAGGATTTGAGCAGGCTGCTGATCACATTCAGGTCCTGCCATCTCTGAGGGAACAGAAAGGGTTAATTAAAGAGTTTCTAGAGGAACATTTCATTATAAAACAGCACATCTTTTCTGGATAATGGCATGAAACTAGTCTCAGTTATACTTGTACATCAGTTTGAAAAGGTTGTTCTTATAAGGTGTGTATAAGGTGGTATACAAAGTGTAACCATGAAGTCTGCACACCTCCTCAGCAGTGTTGATGTCCAGGCCTTTGTTGAGATGCTCCTGCAGGTTGGACACCATGGCGTTGTTCCCCGGCACCCGGTAGATACCGGTGTAATCCAAACCTGTGGTCTCCACCACACCACAGCACATCTCCACGATCAAAGGGACAAACTGTGGAGAGATGGAAGGAGAGAGGAGGGTAGAGAGAAAAGACAGAAGGACAATTGAGTTTGGCATGAAATCGTGATTTAATATTTCATGCACATCATTCCTCCAACTATCACGATATAATTACAATAATGGAGTTTTGACAGAAAAAATAGGAAAGGTCTGCACACTGTACAGATCCAAATGAGCAACTTTATTAAGGGCAAAGTTTCGATCCAAAGAATCTTCTTCAGGCAAATATACCAGGACCTTCCCCCTTGTCCTGCACCTCTATATAATTTGCTTGGATGTGTGCGCACTAGTCTTTTTTCTATTTTTTGAAGTTTTGACACATATTAATATTCAGGATGAGCTGCATGCATGAACGCAGATGGCCAAACTTTTCACCCCAACTTCAGGTTCAGGTTTTTTCTCTGCGGCCCCTAAGTAAACTTTCTGCATGAATCGGGTTGAGCCGCTGTGAGAACGCAGCAGAAAATGTTCTGGAAAATTCACTGTAAGGGAGGGGTGGGAATGATGAAGTTCATACCACATGGCTAATGTGATCTTTCTGCATATAATGAAGCTTTTCACGCCATTACGTTGACGTTGCTGAGACTGTGAAAACGTCCAATTACACATAAGACTGATATAAAGGCAAACAACTGTCTTTTACAGTGACTTTTACTGCCATCTTGGATTTACGCAGCATCTTTTTAAAGTTTACACTATGAGGGTCATGAACAAACAAAGAAAATTAAGTCTATGTAAGGACTGAATAAACAAAGAAAACTATGGTATTTATCAACCAGTCAGTCAATCAGTCCAAATAAGACCGTTCATTTCAACCAAAGAATAGTTCTTGTCACTTTGGATCTCGTTGTTGGGGTTCTTGTGATTTGGCCTGGGTATTAAAAAAATGAAAGGCTTACTTTATGATTGACAGCTGGCTGACAGTCCTCCAGTCGCACGCCAAAAGCCTTCGGACTGCCCGTCTTCTTCGCCTTCTTCATGATGTTGATGCCCCACAGAGCTTTGTTGTCATCTGAGTCCAGACACGGGGAAAAAACAACAACAATGAAAAGATTAATTGCTACCGGAGTATAGAAAGAAAAGAGTCAGTTTATATCAGCAACTGTGGAGTGACAGCAGTAAAAACAGATCTATAAGGCACGTAACATAAATGGGGGGGGTTAAAGATATAAATACTATGTCAATGTTTAAGGGAGAAAAAATAGCATGAAAAAATGACGGCATGCCTGAGGTCTCACATGTTAAGCAATAATTGAGAGGGCCTACGGTGGTTGCTTTCTGAAGTTAGGTCGGATCGATCCACACCAGGGTTTGATTGACAACTTTCACACTAAAACGAACCGAACTACCTTGCCCAACAGACTAGAGTTTGTTGAATTTGTAAAATAGCCGCCTCGATTCAAACTGAGAGGCATGGCATAAAAAAAATCCATCTCACGCACCCGTTCTGGAGGTTCGGTTCACTGAGGTGTTGTCAGTCTTTGCCAGTAGGAAGGGAGGCATCATACGATGAGCTCTGGGAGAGGAGTCGGGTTTACTACCTGTCAGACTGCACACAGAGAGAGAGAAACAAAAGGCAGTTCAACATAAAGTCAGTTTTGTAAAAATGTCCTGACATATAGTTAACAGAAAATGATGGATGCCTTGTTATTCTTGCTTTTTGGAAGTACAAATGGGTGAAGTGATCGTTTCTGACAGGCACACAGCCTGAGGCCACAGAAAATCCTAATTACACATGGAGTCAGGGACAGTTGTGATCAAACATTTTCTAAATATAATCCTGAGCTGACCTGTGTTTCCTGTAGTCGTTCATCTTCTTGTTGATGAGGGCTTGTCTTGAGAAACCAATCTCCTACAGTAAACAGAGAGTAGGAGTTTAGTTTTTGTGCACGTGTATTTGTGCAATATCTCGAGTTTAACTGAACATCTCACCTCGTTGTCGGTCTTGCTGTTCTCCCGGATGACCCTGATCCACACCAGCATGTCTTCCCGGTCCTCGGCCTGCAGCAGGTACTCGCAGAAGTCCTGCGTGGTCAGCCTGAGCGTGTTCTTACGTTTGGTTTCACTGTAGGCGATGTCGATTAGGCAGCCCCGGATGCTGATTGGAGGATGCTCGTCCTGACCTGGCCCCGCCCCCGCACCGTGAAGAACGGCCTCCCGCTTGTCCTTGTAGAGGAAGAGGGAATGGGAACGCAGCACGGAGAAGACGCGCTTCCACGGCCGCATGCCACCTCCTACTTTCTGTAATAAGAAAAGAAAAATATGCTTTAATCAACGTACTCCCTCACTTCAAAAAGAAGTTTCACTGGACTGAGGAGGTTTTGCGCCACGAGTTCAGGTATCTTTGCAGGCAGCCGGAAGCAAGTACAGAGAAAGATAAACATACTAATCTATCTTCATCATCTGCTAAACCTTCTAACGTTTGCTAAATATTCATTTAAATGTGCCTCTGTTGAAAGGACAGCTTGTCAGGTGTAGTAAGCCTGATGGTCCTACCTTCCCCTTCTCCGTGAGGATCTGTTTGTAGTGCAGCCAGCCCTCCTTACGAACGTCACTGAAAGTGATGGTTCCCAGCTCAGAGGTGGAGTGACGCTTTGACCGCGCCTCCTCCTGGGCTCGCAGGCTCTCCAGAGACTGAAACATCGTTTAAGTGAATTAAAAACTAATCAGGAAACTGAACAGTGTTTCGATTGGATGCATATATGAATATAAATGACAGCACGTGTAGAAAGAAGACTCACCCCATCAGTGAAAAAGCTCTTGACTCTTTTTGGTAGTTTACTGTGAGACACAAAGCACACAGGTTACAGAGTTAAATAATGAACTGAGACTGCTGCTAAATGAAAATATATATACTAGAGTATAGTAGAACATCAGGTCAGCTGAGTGATCTCTTTTTAAAACCTTCTTAGGACAAACTCTGACCAGCGAGCCTTTCCTGGTTTCACCAAGTTTTAATTTTTACTTTAAGTTTACTTTTTAAAATTCCGTTAGAAGAATTTTACGTCGCTTCAGAAATCTTTTAAATGGATTGTACGTCTTTACGTGTTTGTTAGTTCTTCATCTTTTGCCTTTGCTTCTGATTTCATGACCTGTATGTGTTGTTATTTTTTTGTATTATGTCTGTCCTTGTGACGTCGTTTTTAAGGATCTAGTGTCTGAACTAATTAGGGAAGGAACTTGGAACTGTTTAAAAATGTGAAATCATTGAAATGGATGTGTTTACAAAAGTGTTTACCCATTTGTTTTAGTTCCAGCTCCCTTTGAACGCTGTTTGCTTTTGGATCATTATGTAACAAGTTTAGGCTACTGGCTCAAAAAAATATTCACAGACGGTGTTGAGCCATATTTGTTAGGAATGCAGTTTTTTAAGTGTCCCGGACTTACGAGAAGACTCTGCTTTCTTCTTTAAAGTTGTTCAGACCCTCGTCACAGGACTTGGATCTCTCTGTTGTGATGGCCAGCAGGTACGAGGAGCGACGGCCTTTAATACTTCCTGAGGAGAGAGGGGACGAGTCAGAAAGGAGAAGAGGAGGAAGACGGAGACATGAAGGAATAACAAAGTGTTTGGTGGTGAAATGAAATGACAAGGAGACACGTCATTAAAGGGGAAGGTGGTTCACATTGTGACTGATTAATGTTTCATGTTACATCAGCCACAATGAGCTGAGCTGATCAAAAAACATAAACAATGTGACAGTTAGTACTTTGTTGTAATCACTTCCACATAAACTTGTCAGGAGACATGTTTGTGTGAATATTAAAGGGTGATTCAAGAGTTAATAAGCCGAGGCTGTACTGTATCTTTAAGACATGTAGGGACCTAAATAACTAGAAACCAAACATGTTATGATGCAACCAGATGATTGCTTCAGCCAGAAGCTGCAAAGCAGATGTTAAAGGCTGCATTCTTATTCTTCAAATCTACACGGTAGCTACGCCTTAGTGGAACCACGTCGTTGTGAGCACTTCATACTTGTGCGTTGGTGAGTCTGAGTAGCTCAGCAATACTCCGCCTACAAACACAAGACGAAAGTGCGATTTCTATGCTTGTTGGATCGCCAGTTTTCAGTTCCTCCACGTTCTCTGCTTGTTTATGTAAAGGAAACCATGGCGACTGAGACCAGGCGTATGATGTTGGATTTGGAGCTGATGAATGGCGATCTTGTGTTTTCCTTCTGCAGAATTTTGAAAAAAGCGGCGATATCAAAACCATTGTAAATGCGGTAAATCCAATGCTACGCAGCAGACCAATCACAGTGCGTTTGTCATTTTATCATTTTACTGAGGGTATTTAAAAAGTCAGGGAAGAGTCAGGCAAATCTTTTTTTTTTGCTGTTTTCATTCACACATGCAGCTCACAATTTTCAGGAGTTTTGTACATGTGTGAAAACAGCTGACATATCAAATAAAAAAAAAGATGAACACAGAGAAAAATGTTTTTGTTGAAAAGAAAGAAAGTTCTACATCAATCTTCTCAAAGCCAGCAGACTCCATCGACAGAACCACTCGTTACCTTTTTGAACACAGGAGCTTCTGGTTTACTTTGCCTTCTTTTTTTGTGGTATTGTGTGACGTGACTGAAAGGTTAGCTCAGCTCTGACACAATATTTGTGTAACACACAGAAACCCATTTAACAAATGGTCTAATGGGGCCGCACTCACACAAGGCAATCTGTACCAGGTCTAAGCACGCTTCACCCCTAAAGCCCATTTCTTTTGACTAGTGTGAGTGCTCCGATCCAAGCTCAAGCACGGTACACTTCCTCGGCCCTGGCACGCTTTGAAGAGGTGTACAGTTCATGCACGAGCACAAGCACGGCTACAAAGCTTGGACAGGCTTCTACAGTTTATGAGTTCTGACTCAAAATAAGCCACAGTAAAGTAGCTGTCATGTTCTCTGTGTTTTTATTTATTTTTTATTTCGAGTTCGCCTGTCTTGTAAACTAAGCACCGTTCATGACCACGTGAAGCCATTCATTTGTTTTATTACGACAATATGTACAAGAGGTAACCTCAGGCCTGGTTAGTGCTGGAGCAGTATGAGTGCAGGTTACATTTTGTTTTCACATCAGTGTATATTTGTAGCTTTAAAGAGAGCAATGTTACGCCTGTTGCTTGTTAAAAAAGGATCTTTAATCAACAAAAAGCTTTCAATCCTGAGGGATTTACTGCCATCGATTAAGATGTAAGGTTTCACAGCTGCAGTCTTAACTAATCTACTGAAGCAGTTTTAAAAGCTTTTGTACTTGCTCATCATTTAGACCCCAAAAAAAGTCTAATGTCTTTCAGAAGACTAAAGGGACCCTTAGAGATAGAATGAGGCTAAGGCTAGACAAATATATATGTGTAGACATAGACATGCAGTGATTTTTACTAATATCAGATCAAACATACTTGAAGAATGATAATATATTGGTCTAGCTCTCATTTCAGCTTCTCAGGGTTTAACGTGAGACTCACTGCAGTCCTGAGAACGAAGTCGAACAATGGGAGTGATGGATGTGAGGGTGGGGGAGACAGAGGTGGTAGTGAGGATGGAGGCCTGGGAACTGGACACCACAGAGCAGGCTGGCACAGAGCAGGCCTGAAGGTCAATGCTAGGATTGGCGGGTTCATCTGAAAGGTCATCACACAGGTGAGCACCAACAAGGGAACAGATTATGAACGACACAGCGACAGGAGCAAACGACAGCAGGTGGAGTTTGGTTTGTTAGAACATTGATCTAAAGCAGAGCTGCTCTGGAGGCTGAAACAACATCTGATGGAGAACCACAGTTTGTCCAAACAGATTAAACGCAAACTGAAAACCACGTTTCAGTGAGAAGTGTGGGTGCAACACCTACAACACCCACAGATACAACAGGCCAGGCTTCCATGAAGGGAAAATCTCCAAACAGCCTGTTTGAGCACACATTTTCTGGAAAGTGGAGCAGGGAAAAGACAGAGAGGATGGACTTTTCTGATTATTGGGGGGTATGCAGACGGACTACAGACATATATTAGAGTTAAAGAAACATGGTAAAGTGTATTTTGCTTAATATGTGACCTTTAAGTCTGAAAATCTACGATTTTAGTGTTTAATTTGTCGTATTCTTAAAAGATGCAAAGATTAGTGGCAGTGGTTTGGTGTGTGTTATATTTAACCCCTGACAAATAGCTGAAGGATCTCTGAAAACAACAGTGGAAGCAGGAATCTTGACACATAAAGATATCAGAGTTATATCAGACTAAATAAGGCTGGAGCAGGAAAGATCCCTGAGCAGGGAGGTGGCGTACTGCAGCATTAAAGCAGCAGAAAATAGTTCTCTGATTTCCTTGAAGAAAAGTGTTGTAACAGCGTGTGTTCACCTAACGGCTCGAGCAGCTCTGCTTCTAGGAAATGTTTCCAGAACTCAAAACTCCATCTACTGTTGTTGTTGTTTCTTTACAATACACAAACACTGGGTGAGTTAAGGCTCGTACTTAAACATTTAACATTTAGTTAACATCAACACAGCTATGAACACGGACACAAACATAAATTGAGGGTACAGGCATAATGTTGACATGTTTATAACACACAGAGATGGTTATAAACACACATTAAAGTTGCTCTATCACGGCCACATAGAAGTACGTTTTATATTAGAGAGCTCTGTAGCAACAGACACAGAATGATTGAATCTATGAATAAAAATGTTCCTTTGAATGACCGAAAATGCCACAACTTTGAGAAATTATATAATAGTTTATATAGTATTAGTCTCAGTTGGTTGGATCACTCTGACTCCCGATGCCGAGGAATCACTCAGGCTACTTTTTACCAGTTTGCAACTTCTTCAAAATGCCGCTCTGCATTTATTTATGAACTCCATTAATGCTGTCCTCCTCGCATCCTGTAAAAGCCTTTTTGTGGATGCTTTTAAGAGGCACCAAAACACTGTGTTCAGAAAAAAAGCAAAGAGAATCCTTGTGGTACTTTGAACATGGTGGCTGCAGGTCCATTTGTGTTTATTTGTGATGGTTAATAACAAGCCATAAAGGCCCTGACACACCAAACAGACGGCAAAGAACTAGTGGCAACAAAGGCCGTCTGTGGCGTCGCTAACCACCACGTACGTTCTGTGCATGTGTGAGAGGAAATAACTCTCCATGCCAGCAGGCGGCGGTAGTCTGTTGTTATGATACGAGAAGACCACTTTCACACCGCTGTCTCTTACCACTCGTATTATAGGTAGCCTACTAATGGAGAATAATGTCTGATAAAAAGTTGAAAATGGCGCTGGCGTTGTCAGCCCTTGGTCTTTTAGTGGAAAAAGAAAAGAAGAGGCGGAGGAGACAAATAAAGAGAAACCGCACTAATGGGTGAAAGCATGGATACTACAGCGGAACGCTCAAGGGGCTTTCCTGAACCTAAGATGAGAGCTGGAGAGAAATGAAACCTCCCAACAGCCAATCAGAGAGATTCCTCTCACCGACGTTGATTCTACATCAATGGAGAATCAACGATGGAGCCGGACACACCACAAAAACTAGGGCAACGACCGCTCACCGACGGTTGAACTACGTTTCACCCATACACATCACAATCACACACTGATGACAGAGGCTGCTACGTGCTAATCCCATTCATACACATTCATACGGCGCTGACGCCACTGATGTAGCAGTGGGAGCAATTCAGGGTTCAGTGTCTTGCCCAAGGACCCTTCGATATGTGCCTGCAGGGGCTGGGGATATAACCCCCTCGGTTGAGAGACGACTAACTCTACCACTGAACCACAGCTGCTCAAACAAGTGCAATGATAAGCGACATAAGAAACTTTGAAATCTTGATTTTGAATTGTGGTCAACTAATTCTGAGTATTTATTTGTCTTTAATTGTGTTTCTTTGCTTTTGGTCTGAACACACCTGAAGCTTCATTGTGTTTAACTTTTCTCTTTTTTTCTCTTGTTTGATTTCCACCAGGTCTGTAAAACACTGCAACCAATTCAATTCAAAATCCACGGCATTATCAGAACATGTTAAAGGTCAATTTTGCCACAGCTGCATAAAGTCAGTTGCTACAGAGAAAAGGTCACTAACCTATGAAGGGAATAGAGGACAGGGAGTTGAATGCATGCTGTGCCAGGCTACCATTAGCTCTGCGGTTGGGGCCGGGCCCAGAGACTGGAGAGGGCGTCCCTGGTGAGGGTATCAAAGCAGGGGGCTCAGGTGACTCCACAGGTGAGGCATAGTGAGGATGTCGGAGGGCCTGAACCGGGGTACGACGGCCTGACGGCGGCTTCTGCCTCAACACCACCTCTTGATTGAGGGAGATGGGGGAGATGACCTCCCTGTCCTCACCGAGTCGGGCTCTCTCCTCCTCTGACGCAGACAGGACGGGGGTCGACTGAGGCCTGGGTACCATCCCACCATCATTTCTGCTGCCAGGGCTCCAGTTGAGGTGGGGGCCGCTGTAGCCGGGCTCTCTGAAGGAGTGAGCCTGCTGGAGGAGGTGGCTGGCTTTACGTGAGAAAGAAGGGCTGTAGCTTTGGTAGCCCACCAACTCTTCACCTTTGACTCTTCTGGTTTGGGGTTCAGCTACCTGTTGACCTGGCTGTCTGCCACTAGGAGACGCTGTGGAGGCGGCTGTGATGGGGCTCGTCACTGCGGTTTGGTGCTGATGCCCTGCTGGGACTCTCTGGTCTTTCTGCTCATTGAATTTTTCGGTTTGGGATCCTTGTGAGGAGTGATCGTAGCGTGATGAGACCAGAGCAGAGGCTTGTGCGAGTGTTTCCACAGAGCGCCCGTAGTTATGCTCGTACTCAGCGTATGCTGCCAGCAGGTTCTCAGAGCACGACCTGCTGCCTGGTCCTGTTACCCCACCCCAGCCCCCTAACCAATATGAATCATGGGAAGCAGCAGCCGTCTGGTGGTGGTACAGGAGGGTTTCTCTTCTGCGTTGCTCAGCAGAGATTGTGGGAGCAGGTGCAGGTCCGGGGCCGAGAGCCAAACCCAGCCCTAGTTCTGCCAAACGGTCCTGAGATATACTGCGATGGCGAGGAGACATAGACTCGGCAGCCTCAGCCTGGCTGTAGTACCAGTCCGACAGAGCCTGGTGACAGAGGGCATCAGCTCGAGTGCGGGAAGATGCCGGCATGCTGCTCTTCCGTGGCGCAGGCAGGGTTGCAGAGGCGATTGCAGCGTTGTGGTTAGCAAAGTGAAAGTCCAGCGCACTGATGGCCGAGGAGGAGCGGCCGCGGTGCCGACCCGACGGCGCAAAGTAAGCACTGGAATCCTCGGGACCCCCGGACCAGCCGGAGGTGGGGGGAGAAACATTAGGGGGCCGGTTGTCCAGCGGGGATGTGGTGGGGCCGGGTCGGCACTGCCAATTGTCCAGGGGAGTGTGTAGGCCGTCGCTGGGCGGGGGCGCAGCGGGGCTGGTCTTTGTGGTGGGGTAACAGAGAGGTGGGGGCTCGGGGAGGTTCTGGGCCACACCTGAATATGGCTCATTGCCTTTAAGGTAGGCATCCTGGGAGTACGCCTGAGGATAAGAAGGATTAGGACACAATGTAAAACCTGACAAAATGACACAAGAGTAAAGGTGAGGGAGCAGATCGAGGAGAGAGAGGCTGATGCATCGTGCACCATGCAGCTTTACTTCTATCTGCATTCATTAAACTCATCTAAAGCACCGTGGTTTAATATTCAAACTAAGACAAATGCTGAAGAAAAAGTTCTAATTCAATCCAGCCTTAAAGAAATAAGTAGTCATGTTTTTAAATATCGACTTATCTATATTTTTCTCTTCAATCAGAAGACCAAACCAAACAACGCATCGTATTTGAGACATGAAAACTGAAAATAAATCTTGAGAAATATTTTTGCAGTTGGACCACATTACATTAATGTACGACCGGGCCCGTAATCAAGTCTGTCACGTGCTGAATGATGATGTTACCTTTTAAACTCAGGGTTTTACCTTTGGCCCTTTCTCAGACTATCACTGACTTCATTCAAATCCTTAAATACAGAACACTGAACGCTGAAAACTTTTAGAACATTTATTGACCAGAACATTTTTGTCTTATCACCAAGTTAAATTAAATGCCTCTCTAGTAGACATTTAATTTGTAAGGGTTGGTGTTAAAAAACGATATGCCCAATACGTTGAGGATTTCTAGGAGTGTTTTCAAAAGAGCCATAGTTTAGATCAGAACTGTCTAATAAAGTAAATATCTTTGGTGTAATTTTAGTAGACGCCTCCTTCTCTCCTTGTACCCCCTTGTTTTCTAACAAGGCTTTTGTTGTGAGACGTCCTCTCAGTTCTTATCCAATAAAGATTTATTTTATCAACATTATTTCTAATAAAAGGCTAAATTTGAGGTGAATTATGACCAAAAATGTGAATAATAATAAATGTATTTATTCATATTCTAAAAAAGCAAATCCTAAAAAAACTTGCTCACCTTCAGTAACTTCTATGGGTGCTGAATCCTCAACCAAAACAACATATCGAAAGTATTTCAGGACAGCATGCCAACATTTTACATTTCACCCCCCAAAAACGTATTTTTTTATGCTGCAGACATAACGGGCAAAGCTCTTCTTGAGTGGCTTCAGGTAAACAATGAATATATTCTCAGCATGTTTATCAAAAACCACTCGTATGAAAATGATTTCTCAATGTTTATATCCTTGTGTTGGTTCAAAGGCCTCCGTTCATTACCTTTCTATAATCCTATCTACAAGCTCATATCAAAGTCCTTCCTATGCATGCACAATAATGATTTCTAAAGTTAAACTTGAATTAGTATGAATCCTGATATAAATACACAATCCATGTTATTACATAAACAGCCTAGCTAAGTGCTAACTTTGGCTTCACACAGCAACAAGGTGAGAAGGGGAGGAGAGCAGAAAGAAGAAGAAAAGATAATACTCACACTTACCAACTGCAACACATCCTCGTCTTTTGGCATAATGGAAAGCTCCAGAATGTTTTCACTACACACAAAGATATAAAAAGATCATAATATCATTACAACACGCGCGACGAGTCGGATGTGATCATTAAATATTATTTCATAAACGCTGAAGTCTTTTACCTGTTCTGGATGAGCGCGATCACTTGAGAGTAGGTTTTACCTAGGATGCTCTCCCCGTTCACCTTCACCAATCTGTCCCCTGAACACGTACACACACACACACACACACACACACACACACACACACACACACACACACACACACACACACACACACACACACACACACAGACACACACACACACACACACACACACATACACACAGCAGTCAAGTCAATACCTTCTCTTTAAAGGAAGTGTTAAAACACTCAACTATCTCATGAAGGAGGCGCGTAGGATGTAAAACAGTGTTTCAGTCCCTGTGGACCTTTTGTCATAAGTGTTTTGAGACCACACATTATAAAAGGTGATGCTGAGCAAGAGTATAGTATAGTAGATTTTCTATTTTCAAGAATAGACTCTCAAAATGAAGAAAAGCAATCTGATGCAGAGTAGTTTTTCTTTTTTAAACCTGTTGCTTATTCATTAAGTTCAACTTAACTACATTTTTATCTGCATCCTTTTGCAGCCAAATCAGGCAGATCAGATTCATATCTCAACACCGAAGTTTGCCGCTTTGTAATGACCTTGAGCTCTGCCATCATAAGCTGTGTGTGTATGTGTGTGTGTTGTCTACCTGTACGCAGCCCAGCTTCTTGGGCGGGCCCACTGTCTTTGACACTCTTAACAAAGATGGTGTCCATCGGCTCCAAACGAGCCTGCTGACAACCTGCTTGAACACAAACAGACACTATCAGGTTATGTTTTCACACTTAATCCTGAATCCAAATTCAGCTGACACGTCCACAAATCCTGAGTACATGAGTGTAAGGTCATAGATACAGAAGAGCTTAGTAGGAAGACGCTCGTACTGATCAAACAAACATAAACAAACACTCACCTTTTCCGGTCGCATTTCCATTCTCTTCATCCTGTGGGAGAAACACAGAGCAGCTGTTACAGGTGTTATAGCAGAGGAGGAGCACAAGGGGGTGCTGCTAAGCTCACATTCACTCTGCAGGCCTGAGTGACTCCAGCTGTCCTCCAACCTGCTGGGCTGTTTTTCAGACGCCTGATTTAAAATTAAAATGAGTGTCTGTCTGAGTGTATCTCTTTTGACACTGTTTCCCTGTCTATCTGTCTGTCTGTCTGTCAGCCTGTCTATCTGCCTCACCTTATTTCTCACAGTCTGTCTGAAATGTTTACTTCTGTCTACCTCTCTGTCTCTATCTCACTATATTTCTCACAGGCCGTCAGTCTTAAAGGGATACTTCACCCATTTGCATTAAGCTTTGTATCATTAGAAACCTGGCAGTATTTTTGAACGGTCATGCATCTCTCCCTCATTTTCCCCTGAGAAGGGAAATCTTTGTATTTTTAACTCTGAAAAGAAGCTTCCGATGATGCAAAAATCATCATTTTGCGTCATCGGAAGCTGTTGTGGTTAGCGGGGGTGAAACTACAACACTAGTTCCTCATGTTTTCGACCACTGAAGCTACAGACCAATCACAGATCAGTGCGTGGGAACTCACTCCCAGAATCGAAACTTAACGTCCGCCATATTGCTTGGTAGCTATGCTAACAGAATCTATGGAGAAAGATGATAATGGCGAAAAAAGCTGATATGGATGAAGGGGATTTTGAAGGTCTTATGCTCGAATCGGATGTTCGTGGCTATCTCTATAAGCCGCAATATTGGCTGCTGCAGACAGGCCGGTCTTGTGTCGGCGGTGGTGAGGACGAGGAGCCCGGGAACGGCTCGAGCTGGGGCGGACTGGTAGTGTCGGTGCGCTCACTGTTTGCCTATGGACACAGACATAGAGTCCGTTTTCTGCCAGGAATTTTACAGATGCCAATTCTTTCAGGACGAAATCTTGGAATCAGTTGAGGAAACGGCCGTATGTGTAGTCTGTAAATACAGGACCTTAGTGGGAGTGGCCTGCGCTGCTGTGCATTCTGGGAGTTGGTGTCTCTCATCCACATGAGCCAAAAAGACGCTTTCTGCCTTTTTCTTTGGCCAAGAAGGCACCAACTTCAAAATGTATTTCACATTTCTACTACATATATGACCCAATGTCAATGCAGATTCATGTTTCAACGGGTGAAGTATCCCTTTAAGTTTTTGTTTCTACCTGTCTATCTCTTACTACTTCTCTGTCAGTCTCATCCATTTCCCAGTCTGCCTGTTGGTTTTTGTTTCTATCTGTTTGTCTGGCTGTCTGACATTACAACTTATAGACTACGGTACCTGTCCTTCTTTCTAACTCTAATTCTCACCATAGTTTGCCTGTTACCTTTCTGTCCCAAAGTCCACCTGTCTCACAGCCGTTCAGTGTCTGTCTCACAATTGTTTGAATTTTGGTTTGAATGATGGATTTAATGATTGTATGTATTCATGGTGTCCTCTTGTAACTTCATGTTGTCATGTATATAAAGTTTGAGGTTGATTTTGAGTCTTTGTTCTCTGTTGCTTCTTTTCACCTGGCTGCAAAACACATTTTTCCTCAGAGACAATAAAGTCAAAGTTCTAAGTTCAACAGTCTGTCTGTCTGTCTGTCTGTCTGTCTGTCTGTCTGTCTGTCATGAAGCTTCGATGCTTCGCTGAGTTAGCTCATTCCTGACGCACACACAAAGGACTCTGCACAGTCGGCGGCTGCTACACACACTGATTACACACACAACATTCACACCGCTGCAGAATCACACACCTCTGAATTTCACCAAATGAAGATATTTACTAGAGTCACACATTTGATGTTTATAGTACCATCGAAAAAAAATAATTTCATGACCATCTGCATACAGAACAGACCATGAGTGTACTATTTAAAAAATATATATATAAAATTTGCAGAAGATGAACCAGTTGCTGGGGGTTTTTCTTCATATAAAACTACAAGCCCGCTTTTGGCATATTTTATACCTGTCCTCAAAGTTTGAAGGGAGTTTTCATTGAGAACATTGTTTCCCATATATTGAACTCCATACATGTTTCATTTATAAATGCAATTAAGGCTCTCCCTATAGAGAATCCATGCTTTTTGGCTTCAGGCAAGGGTATATAATTGGGCATGTCCCTTCCAATATCCAGCAACCACTGAACTGTCCCTGCTCCTTACCAATAACTTGTTCAACAACTAAAATGTATTTTGCATCTCTCCACATGCACATGGGAAAAATTTCTGCTTTCTGATATGTATGTATTTATGAATCTGGTATGTAAATGTAGCTAAGAAATACATACATTATTTTTATTATCTTTGTAGGGTAAATAAATCTCAAGCAATCCGTGATCAATCAATCACATCGCTATCATACAAGGATCAATCAGTGAGATGTGTAGTGAGTGAAATGATAAAGTGACCTTACTATATGATCAGACATTAAGGAAACATGCTATGTTGAAGTGCTGGCTTCTCTGACAACAATGCAGCAGCCAGTATGTCCTCCTTCTAACTTTAGATTCTGCTCCTGAATGCTCTGGATTTGTTTGGACCAGAGAAGGTAGGCGGTTTTAAGGCACCCCCACACGGCCGTTTTGGACGCCCCTCAGTTTGCCAGATATGAGAGCAGTTATCAGGTCAAACCAACAGGTGTTGCAGTGATGGAAGTGGGCAAGAGAACTGGTTCAGATAGAAGTGATTGTATCCGACCTAAAAAGCCTCTGCATGTTTCTAATAAGCTCCACGAGCAGAAACATGCTCAAACTAGGTTTTTTAAAGATTTTTAAAATTTTATAAGATTTGCTCTCAACATCACATTTTTACCAAATGACAGAAATGAATCACATACTAATAAAATGCAGATGTTCTGTGAGTCCAGACCGGAGAGTAGGGCGCTCACCTTGAGGCTGTGGAGCGACGACTCTGGTGGGTAGACGATGAAGTGACGCAGAGTGAAGCCAAATCCCTGCAAGTTCTTCTGGACAAAGATGGTGCGTGGGCCCTGCCACGACACGCCCTCCACCTCACCCGACGACAGCGGACGACGCCTGATTTCACTGGATGCCACCATGCCATCTCTCCGCCCTTTAGCCTACAGGGAAGACAAGATGGAGAAAATGTTTTAGTCTACTTATTCTTCCATGTCCTCTTCACAGAAAAAGAAACAAAACCTTACACTTTGGGTCTTGAAGTTAGTCGTGAGTCTCATTCTCAGGAGTCGTCTGCCCCGTGACTGAGTACTCATACAAACTTGAATACATTTAAAGGAAGTATGAGTGGGTGGAGGTGGGCGTATGGGCTCTGCCCAGATCCGACCAGGGCTATCCCACCTATGCCAGGAATTTCTCAGAGACTTCCTTTTTTCAAAGAGGAAGCTCTATTTTCCCCGAGAACCTCACCTTTAATCACATTTACTACCTCCAGCCAACAATGGCACGGTTAAAAATATATGCAGTCTATTAATAACAGCCATGGAACAACAGGACATTACTAGGGCTCATAAACTCAGATCTGGAAAATCAGATAAAACAATAGACAAAGAGAGAGATTAAAAACATCCACTGTTAACTCCACAGGCTGCGGGAGGTGAAATAAATTCAGATACAAACACACTATTCAGAAATAGGGCGCCGCAAGTGACTAAACACGGATAATTTATGCAACACATGGAATTAGAACTGGTACCAGATTCTGGATCAGAATATTTACGTGTGATTGCAGTTCAGTGTATGTGGCGGTCAACAGAAAGTATCCGCTCTCAGGTTCAGACCCTCTCTCCGTCAAAAAAAAAAACAGTGAACAGTTGAGTGTGGTGAATATTAAGACTGCCATCACCACCATGAAAACACCCACCACCAGTGTCAGGTAAAGCGTAAACAACAGATACAATTAACTTGCATTTATGGCTCCTACATGCCACATTTTCAAAATGATTTTTCTGTAAAGTAAGCCACAAAAAGTATGTTTTATGTTGTCTAATTTCTCCATTGATTGATTTTCAACATTTATGATGTGCCATACAAAGGTCCTACATGGATCAGCTTTCTGTCTACTGGTAAATCATTGGTTCACACATTTTTCACCACACATAGAAAACACTGATCAGCCTTCTCAGCAAGTTATGAAAACAACAGGACGTCTGTTTCTTTGAGACCGGAAGTTTAGAGGCGTGATTTAGGGAAACCTTCGCCTCTAAGAATAGCTCCAAGGAGGACGAGGAAGAAACACTTTCCACAAAGGGGAGCCAGTTTAGATGGATTCTTTCTTTATATGTAACAGCGGGGGGTTGGCACGATACCAAAATTTACAACTTTGATACCATAAACTTAAACAGTATCGATATACCATGGCAACTAAAATAGAACTCTGAGCATCAAAAATGAGGTAATTTATTGTTTTCAATTTACAAAAAATGTAAATAAACTCCTTCACACTGTTGTTGCCGATGTCTTATCAAATATAGACACATGTAAGGTTGTAAAAATTGTCAATACTTTTCACTACTACGTGTGAATCCTAGTGTTTAAAATGGGTACTGCAGTCCAAGTTCAGGTCCAAGCTGTCTTCCCTGCCCCCTCCTCTCTAGAGTCGATGCTCATGCAGGTTGCCATGTGGTGGACACTGAAGCTTCAGTGTTTCGCCAGCTCTGCATCAGTCTGTAAACCTGTAAGCAGTAGCTCAGTCCATAGGGACTTGGGTTCCCAGTGCAGACAATAATATGGAAGTTGGCCTGGTAGCTGGAGAGGTGCCAGGACACTTCCAAAGTACTGCAGAGGTGCCCCTTGAGCAAGGAAACCGAACCCCCAACTGGTGCGCTCTCGCAGTGTGTAGCAGCCCCACTCTGAAATCTCTCTCACAGGTCCTGTCTGTGCATGTGTGTGAGAAGCATGTCCCTAAAATAACAGAGTGTAAACCCAAATTTCCCCTCTGGGATTAATAAAATATATCAAAATTTTAAAAAAATAAAATGAAATTCCACAAAGGCTTTTGGCATCTTTTACAAACATATAAAGCAGAGAGGAGGGGGACACTGTCTAAATTGAACAAATACCGATACATAGCTAACATATTTGTGGATTTCAAACAGTGTGAAGGAGTTCTCCTGCAATCTTTAGTAATTTAAAATAAGTACTGGTAATGAAAAAGAGTTGGGAGCTTATTTCTATATTTTGGGTGCAAAACAGGCATTAGTATCGTTTGAGTATAATGAACTCTGTTTCAGAGTTAAATCTCTGGCGGTGTGAAAAACCTGTGTGTGGAATAAAGGAGTGATCATCATCTCACCAAAACTACTCTTGGAAAAAACAAAGTGACTTGTGAAATCTAGTAGGAGGTGACACCGTCTAAATGGCTCAAATACAAGAGCAATGTTTCAGCACCCAAACATTTCTTTTGTATTTGTGCAAAATTACACAGTGTGCAGGAGTAAGTAATTGACCCAAGACGGGGTGCCTTAGACTTCTATAAAAGAGGAATTGATGTTGAGTTTTATTAATATCATATCTACGTTAAAAATTCTGGTATGGGGAACAACCATAGACTGTAAATATTAGGGAACAACTCTATGAGTGTGATGTGCTGAAATAATTAAATTACCAAATTAAAATTGCAGTTTTCTTTGAATTGCAGTCTGACTTTTCAAACTTTTGAGATGACCCACTCTGAGCGTTATTATGTAACAGATATTCTCCTCACCAAGAGAAAGAAAACAACCTGGGAGGACTCCTGCCCACTGACATTTCTCTGTTTGTGTCTGTGGGTGTGTTGGAGAGTCGTGTTGTGCAAACCCTCAGCATGCAAAGACTCATCATATATCTGTTTGTATGTGTGTGTGTGTGTGTGTGTGTGTGTGTGTGTGTGTGTGTGTGTGTGTGTGTGTGTGTGTGTGTGTGTGTGTGTGTGTGTGTGTGTGTGTGTGTGTGAGATAGTCGGACACATTGTTGTGTTAGATTCCTCATAATGCGACATCTCTGCAGGTGACATTTCACACATGAATGAGTGTAAACAAAGAGGTGAGAGCCTGTGCATGCTTACCTCTGTCTCCCCCGCTCTCACTCCCTCTCTTTCTCACTTTACATACACACACACACACACACACACACACACACACACACACACACACACACACACACACACACACACACACCCACCCACACACACCCACCCACGCACGCACGCACACACACGCACACACACTCAGGGTGAAATGCCAACATGTCACAGTGTGTTTTATTGAACAGTTTGTTTGTTTGTTTTTTTCTCAGTTCATTCAGTTCAAGATTAATCTTCTTTTTTAGTTTGAAGTATGCTGGAATCAAAAAGATGTTTAAATATTTTTAAGCACCAACGGCACAACTAACAATGCACTTTAAATAAAATAAAAAATGCACTGAATAATCATCAACTATTACAGGCTGAACGATAAACTACTTTCTGTATCGGCTAATTTGATGTCTTATATGTGCAGATAAAGAGATAGATAGATTTATTCAATGTAAGTTTATCATTAAATTTTATATCATTTTTATTTATAATTGTTAATTTATTTACTGTTTCAGTGCACTGCTGTTATTCTGGCCAATAAAGGCTTTTGTTAAACTGTAAAAAAAAAAAGAAAAAGCATTTGCGGGATCAACGCAATAAATGTGTGTATATCCAGCTCTATCTCTAAAAATCCGAAATAGATCTAAGAAAGATATGGGACCAATATTGGAATGGGTTTTTTTCCCCTCTCCCTAATATCGGAATCAGTCCCACAAATCCAATATACTATAACAGCTTTTATACACCAGGGGAGGAGCCGGACGTCCCGTCCATGTAAACACGGCTCTCACAACAACACAGCCAGCAGGACTCAAGCTTCTCACTCATTGTAGACAGTCATGACTCAGAGAGACATTTACACAGGATACACTGGATTTATGATATATCTATGTGTAAAATGTTGCACATTCTTCCTTTAAATGTATGAAGGAAGATAAGTGAAATGCATATTTTGCATTTTTATGGTAAGGGAGTAAAAGATAAGAATTTGAAAATCGTTAAAAATATTGACACAATTTTGTCATGAACTCGTGATATGTATCGTATCATAAGTTCATGTATCCTTGCATCCCAGCTGACTTTAAATCCTGCTTTGTAGCTCCACATGCCTCAGACCGCCTCAGAGAGAAGCTTCTGCAGGACCGGCCCCGCTGTGCAGCTGTGAGCAGATGTGTAATGTAGGAAAATAAGCGTATATAAATCCTACTCACAAAGAAAGCCTGAGGGTGTTGTTGTTGTTAATGCTGGTCATGTGGGTAATTTGTTTTCATCATTCACACGACCTATTCATTTAAGTGAAGAGAGTCCTGGAGTGATCTTTGCTCTGATTGTTCGGCTCTTCCAGGGAAACGAGGACTTCTTGTTCGGACCAATCACTCACTCTCTCGTTGTCCGTCTCCTGCACCAATCATTTCATTTGTGGGATTTGGATCGAGGATTGAATTGGAGACTCTCCCCTCTTGTGTTTTGAATTTATTTTGCTCGTCTGACATTTGGAGAGCAGCAGAATGAGCTGAACCGAGAGAAAGAGTGACAGAATTCATAAAGACACAAATCCACTCTGTATGCACACATCACGTTTAATACAACCTGACAGAGACTCTGTGTATTTACACACACACACACACACACACACACACACACACACACACACACACAGTCACACACAGTGGAAACGAGACGCTGGATTACAAACACAATCTACCAGCAGGCAAACATACAAAGAATGGGTAGTTATGGAAAAAGGTATGGTCCTCTGTGCATCCTCGAACAGATGATATAAGAGCAACAGTACACACACACACCCACATATGCATACATAAGATTTTATATAAAGCTACATGAGTGTGTGTGCATCGTGAGGGCATCAGCCTCATCTCTCATCCCCTCTGCTTCTCAAAGGCCCCCCTCGGTGCCACGTTACATAACAGCCAAAAGATGCAAAACACACACACACACACTTGAATGAATCAAACCCCACGTGCTAAATCTGCAGATGATGACGGGCCGGTAATAACCGTCCTGTCTGAATCCCCGACAATGCATGGTTATAGAGTCCCCGCTGAAGATGACACCACCTCTCACTCCCGGGACGTTTAAAGATCGAGGGCGGTCAATAACTGTATCCTGCTCCCGCTCTGACAGGAGAAGGTTAAAGATGGATGGCGGGAGTCGCATCCCAGAGGAGACACACCTGTCCACAGTCATCAGATCAGACAGGCGAGGAGGGCGACAGCACTGTGTGTTTTTAGAGACGCAGTCAGTGCAGGGATTCACCACGAGAGAATTTATGAACTAGTCCCAACACTAAACTGATCCCTTAGAACAGATCAGAAATCCCAACAGGACAAATCTGCTAATTGGAAGAACTGGTTGCATTTTGCTCAACAGTAGTTGAAGTAATCACTTCTTTATTCCACACCAGGGGAAATAAATGAAGCCGATGAAACTTGAACGATATCGATGCCTGTTCTGATACCACGGCAACTAAAATAGAAGTCCTTTAGGAACCCGATCTCTTGTTTTTAATTACCAGAAATTCAGAGCAAACTCCTGCACACTGTTTACTGTTCACAATTAAGACAGCTCCTCTGCTCTCCGTCTGTTTGTAAGAGACATAAACTGAACTTTTGTATCTTTATATGACGCCATAAGGACTTGAGAAACATCAGTAGTTATGGTTGACCGACCTGTGATTCTGAATGAGTCACTGCTGCTTATGCAACAATAGATTGGGTTAAAAATGGAAGAGATGCACGATACCATTTTTTCATTTCAGTTTCGATTCCGATACATATACTGATATATATATATATATATTCTTATTTTTTTCTTATTATATTTATTACTGTTATATATGTTGTTGGTATTATGTGTGAGGCTACACAGAGCTGTAGTGAACCCAGCATTGCATTTTATATTGAAAGAGCAAAAAACAAATAAATAAAAATGTAAATTATTCAAATAAATGTGTTTACATTTTCGGCTGGCAGGAAGCAGCAACAACTGCCAGATTAAATCTTTTAAAATGAAGTTCAAGAATTGTATTTTTGATCATATAGAAGTAGCTTTTTCATCTCCATCTGAGCGTCGTCATGGAAACAATTTGTGGGCACTTCTTACAGTTCAGTCTTAAGCATGACGATGCGAGCTGAGAACATTTTAACCGCCCAAAGATCCACTGCATGAACAACCAGATTATCGACCCCATAAACGCCAGTGAAGATATCTTTCTTGATCCACAGTACAGTCAGTCCGATAGTAATTACTTCAATAACGGACCCGATACTGCTATTGGATCACATCTGTCCCAACTCTGAAAAATAAGACTGAAGAATATGACTGTAGTGTTTTAAGACGATACGGTACTTTCCGATACGATCGATTATGAAAATAACACAGATTGTATCATTTGAAAACCCGTGGCATCGAAAGTACTGAAGAATTAATAATCTAATAAAACATTCTGCCACACTGCATCGTCAGCAAAGTGAGTCACGTCAACTGGATTCATAGGGCGAGAAAGCAACAAGCATTTGATCACCTGTTCATTCTCCTCCAACAGATACACACCTGAGAACTTCCATGTGTGCCAATCATCGATGCAAACTGTGCATGTTGAAGTAGAAGACGAGGCCTTGTTCATGTCTTTAAATTTGCTTATTTCTGAATAATGAAAAAATTAACTGAAACTTCTGGAGTTTCCCCTTTGAGTATCTCTGGATGTCAGAACTAAATTATACTGTACATTAGGTTTGAAAAGTTGATTTACCTGAAAAAATATAAATATATTAACGTCTGTTTCACAGTGTCAGTGAAAAGGGACAACTGTTTGAACTTAAGTGAATAATAATCATCTTCAAATCCCAGAGCAACCTTTCAAAAACGTAATGACCTCCTTAACAAAATTAAAAACTAAACAACCCCCCCTAACCTTAAATCATACAATTCAGATCAACACTCTAGATTACAATGAAATAATTCCTCATAATATTATCATTTTAGAAACTGAAAGGGTCTAAGGGAAAGAAGGCCTACTGTAACTGAAAAATAAATGACTTCTTGTGGCCCACCTGCAGTACTTTCAAAACCTACCAGGGGGCCACAGCCAACACTTTGGTCCGATATTACTACCTGAAAGTGTCCTAAAGAACTTTGCTTCCAAGCTGATATTGAAGCTGCTGCAAATAAAAAGGCCACTGGAAGATTAATAACGTCAATACACACTGCCTACACACTTCCTACGATCTAATTATGTTATCATGCTTTTTTTTAGACTTTAGGGGTAAGGTTGTCAAAATGTTCAATACTTTATTTCTAGTTTTAAACAGCTCAATCTAAGTTCTTTTAACAATCATTCGCATCAAAAAAGACCAAAGCTTTAAAAAAAATCAACACGTATTTCTTAAAACTGGTGCGATAAGAAGAATCAGGCCAACAAAAATTCCAGGAAAACTCCTGCACACAGTCTCGATTACACACAAACATTATCAACCTTTGCATTCAGAAACATTTTAGTGCAATTTAGCCAGTGTGCAGAAGTTTATTAAAAATAAGAAATTAATAAATATCGGGTAGCTAGCACTTCTATTTTTGCTGTGTGGTATCAAAGCAGGCATCGATGTGATTTGATTTTTACGATAATCATATTGAAGTTTAAAGCTCTAGTTTTGTGACAACCCTCCTCCTTATTGTAAATACCTGTTACCTTTAAACAATTTAAATGATCAGGGTTGATCTAATAGTTCAAAAATTTGTGAAATACGTACAAGATAAATAAATATATTTGTGCAAATGATTGACTCTAAGCGAGAGTTATTCATGAAATGACAGTGGGGAGGGGGGGGGAGATGAGTCAGGTAAGCTCAAAAAGATGTTCACACTCTTACCCAGGTTAAGCGATGGCGCTGTATGATCCTCCGGGAGCCCCGTCTCCTTGGTGAAGCTATAGGGGTCGGCCGGGGTGAGGCACGAGGTGAGATCCCCCTTAAAACTGCCAGCCAGATACAGCGAGGTTCAGCGTCGCTACAGTCCACCCCGACAGAGCACTGAAAACGCCACTCGTGGCCCGACGGAGCTGGAGCAACACCCGACACCCTCAGCATAGCACCTCAACATCCGTACGCACATGAACCGTCTGTGCATGCGAACGCACACTAACAAAAAACCTCTGAGGGGGGTTGAAGGGCTGCTGAACCCACGGCTGGGATATCCGATCACCTCGTCCAGATCCCTGCCTCATGCATCACAGCAGAAGTTACAACCGAGGGTAAAGAAACACACGCACGTCTACAACTCAAGTCTCACAATCAACCCTCTGAAGGCAAGTCCCCAAGTCTTAAACGCACAAATTTGTAATCCTTGGATCCTCCACAGATTCAGCTTCATCATTCATGTGTATCTCCCTTTGGGCAGCTCATTAGATCATGATTCATGCGTCTCAGAGCTTCGTGGTCAAGCCATGACAATCCAGTCCAAAACAAGGAAAAGCTCTGATTGGACAAGACCAAATTCATCATATTTCATCCAGTTTTCTCCAATGTTTCCTCGGGCTAGTCCTCATCTTTTGGGATCACCAGGAAAACCTTAACAAATCTCGACCTCTTCTCGTGCTCGTCCACTTTTCATTCAGTCCAGTTCAAAGTGACCGATGAGGAATTCTGCGGCTTCCGTAGCATCCTCACGTCCAGACCGTTACTCCCAGGACAACCCTGATTGTTAAATTAGCTGTGAGACCTCTTTTTAAACCGGTCCTCTTCAAAGCTGAACTGTTTCTGTGTCAGACCAGCCAATCACTCGCTTCTCTGAAGAAGGAGGTAGTTTTCTTGTCGCTTATATTTTGTGCTTCCCTCGTGATTTATGAAGCAGATCCATCCAAGAGCGGTTCGATTCTCTTCCTGGACCAGTTGGACTGAAAAGGTGTTTCGTTGTCGGACCAGATTTTAAAATTGGATTCAATCCCATGCTGCCGCTCAGAGATCCAGTGTGTCCCCCTCCATGCTGGCACTTTAGTGCAGCGTTGGCTGAGGCTGACTATCTTTATTGCTGTCTAAGTATAGTTCTCTCTCCGCTCGACCATGCGCTCTCTCGCTCTCTATTCATTCTCTCTCTTTCTCCCCTGGGTCTATTTGCTGACATCCCTGCACCCTCTCTCTCTCTCTCTCTCTCTCTCTCTCTCTCTCAGTCACATTCCTCTCATCCCTCTGCTGCACAGTCCAGCCTTTTGGTGGAGCAGAAAGCACTGTTACTCTCTCTCCTTCTCTGTGTTTGCCGGGTCTCTCTGTCTCCTCCTTTAAGACTCACAAACCGGAGGATGATGCTGCAGTCAGCATCAAGAGGAAACTACAAGTAAAGTAAAGCTTCTAATGAATGTGTTTTATGAGTATAAGTTAAACTGGTTTCAACTCCTGAAAGTCAAGGAGTTTTACTATATTTCTCTGCAAAACATCAAAGTGATTTCTTCATTTGGAAGACAAAGACAAAGATATCATCCTGCAGGGTCCGGGAATTCAAGATATTTTGTCCAAAATCGACACAACTTCAACGCTACAACCAGTGTGTGTTCATGTTTCGTTCTTAAAAGTTAAAATAAGTTCATATGAAGCCAGCAGTTTTTGTTCAAGTGATGCAAAACGTCTTCCATAAAAAATGAGGTCGAACAAAACCAAAGGTCAGACCTTATTTATGGACTAAGTTTAATTCAACTTGACCTTTTATGCTCTTTTAAGCAGGTGTAATAAAGTGGACATGCACTATGTTCAGAATCAGGCAGGTGTGTGCGCACATATTTACTTCATTTTGACGTCACCCTCAATAGACAGGGAAGAAGAAAATACACAAAGGTCACACAAGCACTTCAACTTGAGATGTGGGAGATGCGTGATCTACAATATGCAGATAAAAATCACTGTAGGCTTTGTCGCCCAATTTATACTGTTTTCAAAGAGTTATCTTGATAGAAGATGATCGCTGTTGGGTTCTGAGATTGCTCACATGGTATCACATATCCCTTCCTCCCTAAGGTTGTCAAAATATTTGATACTTTTATTTTGTACTTTTTGACACGACACTGTCTCTGTTATTTTAATGACTGTGACTATCGAAAAGTACCAAAGCTTTAAAATAAACTCAGAGCTTCAGTTTTATTTTTAACCCAAAGAGAGAGAGCCCTGTCTCTTTTTTTTTTAAGGTGATTTTTGTAGCCTTTTTGGTTTTATTGGAGAGGACAGCTGAAATGTTGGGAGTAGAGAGTAGGGGATGACATGCAGCAAAGGGCCGAGGTCGGATTTGAACCCGCGGTTGCTGGGCTGAAGACTATTGCCTCTGTACATTGGAGCGCACATCATAACCACGAGGCTACTGGCGGCCCGAGAGAGCCCCATCTAAATTGCACAAATACATCAATGATACGGTTAAAAAAACATTGCCAACATATTTGTGCAAAAAGCATTTAAATATAAAAAATCTAATTGTAGACTCTACTGGTGTCTACGTTTCTTTAGGGCTACACGTTTGGCTTTTATAAAGGCTAAGTAGAAGCTTTGTTTATTCTCTGACATTTATTTTAATCTTCAGGATATTTATCAAAATGATCAAATGTCCCATTAAAATATACTGACATGGCAGTCCCACGCAAACATTAAGTATCAGGCTTTTATCGTAAGGTTTAAACGCACACACTGTAAAAAAAAAAAAAAAAAAAAAAAAAAAGTCTGTGACAGAGAAAGGAAATATTACCACCAAACTGTCAGCTGGCAAAAATGTGTGTGCGCATCTTAAATGTGAATGCCAGACTTTGTGTGCGTGCGGTTGTGTGCGCACGTGTCTCTGCTCCTCTGGCCGTCCACAGCAGCAGCTCTAGCTGTGCTGTCACCCCCTCAGCACTCTTTTCATTGACACCTGAGAGCGGCTGAAACGACAGAAAGACAGCGAGAGACGGGAAGAATGGAGCTGAAGAGGGAGAAGTGGGATGCAGAGATGCTAAAAGAGGCTGACGTTCGTGCAAACATCATCCAGCAGCCTCTGCATCTCCCCTCTCATGCCCTCCTCTGCCCTCTACTTCCTTTCCTTTACTCATACTTTATTTCCCTTTTCATTGTTCATATTCTCTTCTTTTACACTCGTAACCTTTCCTTTATTTTTGCAGGCGTCTTCAGTTTTCCTTGATCGTATGACACTGTTTTCTGACTGCGAGGACTCATAATCATGGAGGAGTAAGGCCAGAACAAAAATAACGCAGTGTGATGAGTGAGTCAGAGGAGAGTGTGCATCTGTTCTGCCCTGATTCTTTGTGCGTCGGCACAGTTAGGACGGCTCTGGAGCTCAGGGCGAGAGTGTGAGGGTGAGCGACCACATGATGGCCCTGAGGAGGGACGCTGCTCTGCGACTGTCTGACTCTCTGTTCACTTCATTCAGTGTTTTACAAACACAAATCACATAATAGCAAAGCGCAAACACACTTACACGGTTGGTAAATATTCAAATTAATGAACTTTAACTTGACCTCAAAATGTTGGAACGCATTAACAGTTAAAAAACAAGAAGCTGCAAAACTGCAGACACGCCTAAAATACTTTGGCTTCATGTCCTCTTTAAAGGGATAGAGAGTGTTTATTAATTACACAGTAGAATTATATTTATATACAGACTTAAGTTCTCTCTTACATGTTTTAATGGGGGGCGCTGGATTAGCTCTTTGGTAGATCAGGTAGACCAGATACAAAGTTGTTCCAAACCTGAGACTGTTAGCACGTAAACAGCTGCATTATGTTTTCAGACTCCTCCCCTTGTGTATAAAAGCTGTTTTAGTCAAGGACTAGAGAAGAAGAACATACTCACTGATTATTTGGATATCGCGTCAGCGCTTTTAGATCACAGTCATTCTGTGTCAATTTGAATACAATGTGAAGCTACAAGCTAACTAAAGAGCGCTAACATTAGCCCGCTAACACAACAATGCAGGACACAGGCGACTGCAGCTCGAGCAAAGGACAATCTGAGTGTGCTTAATTATGGAGTGCTCAATTTTATAACTCCTTCATGCAAATGCAGGTGGAGTGGGGTTAGAGGTGTGTCTCTGGAGGAGAGCGGAGGCTTCAGTATGGAGGAGGCGTGGCCTAACAGCAGTTTGTTTTGGTTTCACGCTGGTGCTCAAGGGCGACATCTACTGGATCAAATAGGCGTTCATTCTTCCTTTAAATGGATTAATTGATTATCTACAGATTGGAATTGATCTCTTCACTACAATGAAGAGTGTTCATCAGACTTAAAGAGGCAGAAACTAAATATCAGAGGAAAATTGTTCACATAGACAGAAAGCATTACGTTGACTTCCCTCACCAAAAATGGCGTGTTTCTCTGTTTGTGAACTTACTCATCCTTTGCTAACTTAACCACTGTAGCAAAGTGAGTTGTAAACTTGTCAATGTTCTGCAGCTGAGGTCAAGTTAAAGTTTAGAGAGAACGAGGAGCTACCGAGAGGACGAGAGAGCGAGTGAGGAGAAGACACGAGTGAGGTAAATAAAGAGCTGTCAGAGAGAATCTCAGTCTGAGAGGAGGAAACAGAGAGAGGGAGAGAGAGAGAGAGAGAGAGAGAGAGAGAGAGAGAGACAGAGACAGAGACAGAGAGAGAGAGAGATAGACAGAGAGAGAGAGACAGAGACAGAGAGAGGGAGAGATAGACAGAGAGAGAGAGAGAGGGGACAGGGACGAGTGAACCAGACAGCACGTAAGATTAGAGCTAGAAACAGAGATAGAGAGAGAAAGAGAAGCCCTGTAGGACAGAGAGGGGAGACAAATCATGTCAGATGAACTAGGACCAAGTGTGAAAACAGCAAAGTGTAAGTGCTGTGCTAAGCAATGCTTGGTCACTAGGGGGCAGAAGAAAACTAAACAACCTCTGAGGAACCTCGCACAGCACACGTCTGACATTCAATATAAATTAATTAACAACTTAAAGGCTTTATATGCGATTTTCCACACTTAAATGTAGCAGAAATCAAGTTTATCCTCTGAAAATAACTGTGAGTCATGACTGTCTATAATGAGTGTGGCACCCGAGTCCGACTGTCTGCGATGCTTTCCGAGCCATAGCTAGACTTTGTTTACATCGACGGCTCGACCCCTCGCGTACAAAAGTTGTTTAATTGAGGGACTAGAGATTTTACAGTGTTGTGTAGAGCCCGACTGATTAATCAGCAAGCCGATAATATCAGCTGATATCCAGTGACTATCGGTATCGGCTAAATTTATGACAGATAATATATGGATTTATACACCAGTTACGTTGCATTTCATATTAATTTCACTACTTTCATTATTACTAGCAGTTCTCTGTCCCCAACAGAGTGTGCATTATGAATTACAACCAGCATTATCACCCTCCAGACTGTCAAGCGGTGATGCACGTGCATGCGCGGTTACTTTCCAGTTGAGTGACCATGTTATCTTTTCCACAAGCGTTTGATAACTGCATTTGATGGATTAATGCAATTAAAGTGTAACTCTATATCTATCTCTACAGATGGAAGACAGATCTAAGAAAGATATCAGCTGATATATTGGGAGTAGCTTTTTTTTCAAAATATTGATATTGGTATCGGCCCCATATCGGTATTAGTTATGTGATTAAAAAGGTTGTGGGAAAAGTAAAGGTAGAAAAATAGGGTGGGGAAAAAACAGATAAACCACAAAAAAATTTAAAATATAAAATAATAACATAAAGTACAATGAAGATATATGCAGGACTCAACTTTAAAAATCTAAAGTAGTTTTCAGAGAGCTTTTTCTTCCCAACAAGAGTGAAAAAAGCTGAATATTTGTTGTTCACTCGTGATAATTTAACATTGTCACATTTAATAATGCTCTCTCTCTCTTTCAGTGTGAGAAAGCTTCACGTGCATTTAAACTGACGACAGTTAGAGAGACAAAGAGAGACGGGCTGAATGGAGGGATAAAGAGGTGATGACAGCAC